CTGCTCGAACTTCTCTTGGAACATTCAGGCAGCCACCTCCAGCCTCGACCTGACATGAGGTGCTCTCAGCAGTGCATTGCTTCACCGCAACTTTGGTGACCACATCCACACCCATCACCAAAAAAAAACCGATGATAGCCCCTCCAGTGATCATATCATCGACCTCAAACAACAATATAAAGATATATTTTAAAAATGCTAAATGCACACAATAGGCATCCTCCATACACACTATTCCCACTCAAAGGTAATAACAGAGAATCCTTCATCATCAATCGTTCGCCCTTCAAATGGTTGAGAAAGGTCAACAACACCCAATGCGATGAGTGGCACCAAGGTATTAAGAGCAACTTACAAAGTTCCCCCAGCAATCTGTGCCACTCCAGGAGCATAGCAATGAACTAAAGCCAATGAGTCCACTAATTGTTCCAGCTAAAGGCCACTCATTTCTACCTTAGGAGCCGCTTCCAAACAACTATCTTCCTTTTAAGGTCTTCACACGTGTGGTGTTCTTTTGACTGCAACTCCTCTCTAGTATGTCCAATGGGAGAATCTAAGGATCCAACTTGATCCTCTGAGTCAGACTCAATTGTTTTCTTACCACTACCTACCACTTGCTCCCCCTCCAGCCTAGAGCTATCCCCTTACATCAGACCCTTGAAGTCCATATGATAGGTGATATTTTTGAACTTCCCAGCCTTAGATGTTAATTAATTTAACCATTCTGATGGAAAGAACTTGAATAGATCGAGCAAAGAAACTAAATAAAAATGGAAAGAAATGTGCCCCTCACCCAGTATTTAAGGAAATAACGAGCACAGAATTCTCAAAAGCAAATTATTGCATCATTAAGTAATCATAAATACTATGATTTTTGTATTAAATTCTCTTGTTATTATCACAAATAGTTTTTAAAAAGCAAGAGTTGAAGAACTCAATAGTACACTAAAAACTGACAGCACGAAAATCTCTAATGTCAAAGGAAGCGCAGTGAGGGACCCATCAATGACTAAAGCATGTAGCATGTGAGTCAGAATATCCACCAGCTCAATTCTATTAGAGCATAGTCCAAGGAAGATCAACCAACTACAAAATCCGATCCATCACCAAAGGCCGGTTAATAAAAAATTCAACTGACTGGCAAGTAACTTCAACTGGGTGGCAACTTAAACACGACAGAACCTGCCAAGCAGCCTCTTGTCCATCTAAAAATTACCAACTAAAGTAGGTCAAGGGGCAGAAAGAGCTGAGTCTAATGCTTATTCATTGATTTATACATTTAGACATTTATACATGTATTTAAAACTTTATTCATTTACTTTTAACAAATTACCATATAACAACCCTATTAAAACAAGGTCAAAGAAGTAATTACTCCTTTGTATCCCCTTTCCATATACATAAGAGTTCATTTCTACAATAGAAAACTAATAAATTATTTGTAAAAAGACTCCTAGAGCTTTACTTTATTGTGCAATTAAACTCTCTCTCTCTCTCTCTCTCTCATGCCCTACACTCTACCCCTTGAATGTGATCCATAGGACAAATTCAATTTTAACAAAAAAATAACTTATTATCAAAATATATTTTTTTTAAATGATAATTTCGTCTTCTTATCATTTTAAATTAGTCTAATAGTACGCTACTCATGTCTGATTTGCATTTAGCTCAAAAATTAAAATAATATTATTTTTTGCAATTTTAAGTGATGCATTAAAAACTAAATTAACATAAGTAAAAAAATAATGATTACAATAACAAATTTATCTCAAAATTTTAATCAACAAATAGCAAATACATTTAAAAAAACAAATTTTCACCAAATCCTCAATTTCTTTAAAAAAGTATAAATTTCAAATATGTTAGAATTAATAAATAATGTTAAGGAATGAGGTTTGGATTTAGTTATAAAGTTTAAATATTTATCCCATACATAGTTGCACACTTGCATGCTTAGCATGGCAATCCAGCTCTAGGAATAGTCAAAGTTCAAAATTCAGGCATGTCATACACAACTTGTTCTTTTTGCAAACCTCTATGGAGTTTACACAATCTCTTTCCTTTGCTTTTTACCATAGAGAAATTAGAGTTCCAATTTCAAGCATCAAGAAAAAATTTAATCTCCCACAAAAAATTTACCTTCTACAGAAAGCAATGTAAACCATAATGTGCAAAAGAAATAAGTAGTACACACAAAACATTAGGAGTATTTGAACATAGATTAAGACGTAATACAAAAAGTTCTCATAATCAATTTGGATTTCTGTTGGGCAAGTCTATTATGGAAGCTATACATTTATTGAGAGGTTTGATGGAGATATAACAAGAGGCTGAGGAGGGTAAAAATATGATTTTTATTGATTTAAAAAAAAAACACTTACAATAAAGTTTCAAGAGAAGTTATTTGGAGAGTTCTAAAAAAGAAATGTGTTGATATGACTTGTATTCAATTCATTAAAGATATTTTGACTAAAGTTGTTATTGTGTTCGGACAACAAATGGATTGAACAAGTATTTTCCTATTTCAATTGGATTACGTCAGGGATCAAATTTATGCCAATATATTTTTCTTTTAGTTATGGATGCACTTGCTGGACATTTACAAGAGGGTGTACCTTGGTGTATGCCTTTCACTGATGATATCCTTCTTATGGATAAAACTAGAGAAAGAGCTCAGAGTGAAATTGAATTATGAAGGTCAACATTAGAGACTTAAGGCCTTCATTTGAGTAGATCTAAAATTGAATACATGAAATGTAATTTTGTTAGTAGTAGGTCAAATGGCAGAGTTGTGACAATGAATGATCAAATCATTAATAGGAGTGAACGTTTTTGATATCTTTGGTACTTGTTTAAAAGTGATGGTGAGATGGATTGGGTTGTTTTTAGTAGAATTCTTGTTAAATGGTTGACGTGGAAAAATTCATTGGGTCTATTATGTGATAGAAAAATACCGTTCATACTTGAACAATTATATAAGATGGTGGTGAGAACTTCATTGCTTTATGTCACAGAATGATGGCCAATAAAAGAGAAGCATAAAAGTTAAACGTTCTGAGATGAAAATGCTTACGTGGATGAGTGGCTTGATACGTATTGACAAAAACAACTGTATCCATGAAAGGGTTGGTGTAGCTCTAGTGGAAAACAAGATTAGAGAGTCAACTTAGATGGATTGGCCACATTAAACATCAAACATTTCATAATCCGGTTAAGAGAGTAAAAGTTTTAGACTAGACTTATTTTAAGAAAGGTAGTTGTAAACCTAAAAAGACTTAGGCATGTTTTATAAAAAAACAATCTTAATTTAGTAGAATAAATAAAAGTATGACACTCAATATGACACAAAAGAGAAAAATGATTCATGTAGCCGTCCCTTCTTAGTGAGATAAAGCTTGTTGTTGTTTCACCAGGAATGAGCAGAATTTTGAATTTTGAATATTTCTCTATTTTTTCTCTGCACTGGCCTTGGTTACAGTAAGTCTATTTATAATGAGATATGTACAGAGTTTAGTTATGAGGGGAGGAAATTACACAACACATTTATAGTCGATCATTCCTTGATGATCCGGATTGAATGTGGTACATATAAGCTAATCAAAGGTGGAAGATTCTAGTTTGAGGTGGTCCTATGATGATTCTTTTTACATTCACCTTTATAATTTTCTATGATGTTGCAATCATGCATGCCTAATCAACTATAGAGGATTTCATTTCAAGCTAGAGACAATAAGGAGCATGAAACTAACTAGACCATATAAATAGAATCAATGTTCTAAAATTTGAAAGGAGCTGGGTAAAAACCAATCATTGCCTCACTAATTCTAATTTAAACATCTGAAAGTAGAATAGAAGTAAACCCAACACAATATAAACAAAGCTGTTAATATAAATTGTTCTTCAATGCAAAATTAAGGATGTAATATAAATTGTAATTATAATCTGAAATCAAGTAGCTCATTGAAAAAACCTCTGGCTCACTAGTTTCAATTTAAAGAATTTGAATGTAGAATTAAGCTATAAAAAAATCAATCATTTAAAAAAAATCAAAATAGTATTCAAAGACTAAGTAGTTAACACCAATTATAAACCAAGTTGCTATACAAGTAGAACTAACACAAAAAAAAAATGTTCTGAAATTCAAAACCTACCTGACATATAAAGCAAGCATTTATGAACCAAGTAGCTAAAATAAAACAAGCTTTGTACAAACCCAACGGCTAATAAAAGCAATCGGTCATATATAGTAGTTCAATACAACTGCAATTTTTCTATACATACTATAGTCTACCGATTGCACATCAGAATATTATCTACAAGTATTTCCTCCAAAATATTAAATGAACGAACATAAAAATTACGGAAAATAATAATGTAAGAGTTAATTGCATAGCGAAACTACAAATTGCAGCTCAATATCAAACAAAGAAAAGTTGGAAATTAGATACTTACAATATTTGCAACCAATATAATATTCATAAAATGTATGAAATCTGCCATACAAATTAATGTTCAAAATTAAGAATATGATAAATACCGTTATTAAAATATGAACAAACAAGTTAATGTATAAAAACCTCATTGCATAGTCCGAAGCAGTTTAGATTAGCCAATGAGGGAGGGCGAGGATTCAACGTTGCTTTTATGGGCCTTTTCCCAGTCTAAGCCAACCAAAAGATCCACCCAAGAAAACAGACAGACTAAGAAGTAAAATGGTCTAAAGTTGGAGCACTTTTTCAATCAAGAGACCTGACGGTCCGCATGGTACGCTGAAGAATAAAAATTTGCCGCGTGGAAAATGTGGGACCTGCTTGTCCACGTTATTTAAAAAAAAGAAAAAAATTCGCTGAAGCCGACCCGGCCCGATGTACGAGCCCGCGTCTATTCGAGTACCGCGTATTTTAGAATGTCGAGGAAGACGATTCGAAAATACTCTCCGGTGGTTTTTCTTCTATGTTTTTGCCGCTCGCTCTGTTAGGGTTTCACATTTCCCTCATTCGCTAGCTTGGAAGCCATGAGACGATGGCGTTTGATGATCCAGAGTATGCGCAGGCCGAAGAGAGCTCAAGAACAGTATCAGAAGAGGCTGAGAAGACATAGGTTGAGCAGCCAATGAAATCAAAGAAGCAGAGGTAGAAGAAGGAGGCGAAGGCGAAGAGGATGAAGGAGGGCATTGAAGAGGAAAACTTGTCCTAATAATTGCCATCGTTTTATTCTCAAGTTATTTATAGGTTATTAGTTTGATTATTATTGGGTTATTCTTGAGTTACTCCGAAACGTAGTACTTATTGGCAGCTATTCCATGTTATTCATGTGTTTTTTTTAAATTATTCGTAGGTTATTTATAAGTTAGGCGTATCTTATTTGCTGGTTGAACCTGGGTTATTTTTAGGTTATTTTTCAGGTTATTTGTAGGTTATTTTTCAGGTTATTTATAGGTTATTTTTCAGGTTATTCGTAGGTTATTATTGAGTTATTTTTAAGTTAACTCGTGGGTTATTTTTAGTTTATTCTCAAGTTATTCCTGGGTTATTTTTAGTGTATTGTTTTGTTAATTTTAAAGTAATGCGTAGGTTATTTTTAAATTATTTGCAGGTTTATGCGCAAGTTATTCAAAGGTTATTTCTAGGATATTTTTAGGTGATGTCATGTTATTCGCATGTTATTTGTACGTTATTTTTAGTGGATTATTTTGTTAATTCTGAAGTAATGTGTAAGTTTTTTTTTAAGTTATGAGTAGGTTATTGCTAGGTTATTCCTAGCTGATTTTGAGGATATGTTTAAGTTATTTTTAGGTTATTCTTAGGTTATTTCTGGCTGATTTTGAGGATATGTTTAAGTTATTTTTAATTAGGTTTATGCGCAGGTTATTCATAGGTTATTCCTAGGGTATTTTTAGGGTATTATGCGTATGTTATTCGTAGGTTATTTGTACGTTATTTTTAGTGTATTATTTTGTTAATTTTGAAGCAATGCTTAGGTTTTTTTTTTAAGTTATGATTAGGTTATTGCTAGGTTATTCCTTGCTGATTTTGAGGATATGTTTAAGTTATTTTTAGGTTATTCCTAGGTTATTCCTAGGTTATTTTAAGTTATTTGCATGTTTATGTGCAGGTTATTCATAGGTTATTTATAGGGTATTTTTAGGGTATTGTGCGTATGTTATTCGTAGGTTATTTGTATGTTATTTTTAGTATATTATTTTGTTAATTCTGAAGCAATGCGTAGGTTTTTTTTTAAGTTATGAGTAGGTTATTGCTAGGTTATTCCTGACTGATTTTGAGAATATGCTTAAGTTATTTTTAGGTTATTCCTAGGTTATTTCTGGGTTATTTTTAAGTTATTTGCAGGTTTATGCGCAGGTTATTCATAGGTTATTCCTAGGGTATTTTTAGGGTATTGTGTGTATGTTATTCGTAGGTTATTTGTTGATTGATGAATAAACAGTATTAATAACATGCATCTTATTCCAGTATATTGATGACTAAAAATCTTTGGTTATTCCAGTGCTAATAACATGCATCTTATTATTATAGGTTGATGAATAAACAGTCAATAAATTGTAGATGCCGACCATCAGCAGTTAGAGAGGTGTTGGATAAGGTTCGACCAATTGTTGATATGGAGATGTGGTCAACTCTGAAAAAAACGAAGCTTAATCAGTTTTTTGATCTGCCCCCCTATCCTCAAGATCACATCCTAATTATGCACATATTGAATTGTTGGGATATGAATAGATTGGCTTTTAGATTGGGGGGAAAGAGCTAAGTTTTGATGCAGACCAAGTTGTTTTGTTGATTGGCATGCCCAACAGAGGTCCTACAACAACTTGGGCTTAAAAACCCGTCAATGACGTAGATGCAAGGCGGGCAAAGAGTGAACTATTGGAGAGTTCATTTTTGTTGTCTAATTTATTATTTCCTTCCAACAATTTTAGTGTACCCATTGGGCTCTATTTATTTGCTGAGAGTGTAGATAGTTTTTCTTCATTTAATTGGGCCGCAACAGTATGTGACCACCTAATTGAGTAGGTCAATGCTTGCGCGATGAAAATAAGGATGAGTCAGCCATTGGGATACATGAACGACTTTGTTTTGCTCTAACACCTCATAATTTGTCAAATTAAATTCAAATGACTTTGAAATTTTTATCCTACCTCATTCATGGGTCAATTGAGACATCAGAGGAGGAAATGTGATTTTTCAAAATTTAATTTGATTTATATAGGTATTTAATGCAAAAATAGGATTTCTCAAAGAAAATTCCTAACTTGACCATAGTAAATTATAACCCCTTGAAATTTTTACTGGAGTTAGACCTAGATAATAGAAGCCTTTGAATCAAATTTCATAATTTTTTGATTTCTCAGTGATTTATTAGAATTATTTTAAATTTTGGGTAATTTAATAAAAATAAAATATTTTAGGTGGTGAAAATTAAGTTTTATATTTTTGAAAAATTTCTCTAAGGTCAAGGAGCTTTTTTATATTTTTGAAAAATCTCTCTAAGGTCAAGGAGCCAAGGAGCTTAGAGGAGCAAATTTTATATTTTTTTTATTTTTATTTGATTTATTGGAATTATTTTAGTGAAAACTCATTTTTTAGCCTTTTTAAAAATTATTTTTATGCTTTAAAAAATAAATATCTTTATTTAGAAAATCAAGAAAAATATTCTAATAGTTCCTAAGTAATCAGGAAGCAATTTAGAACATTACCATGAGTTTATTGTTTTTGTGAATTTTATGAATTTTAATTATTTTAAATATTTAAAATAGGCAAATAATTAAGTTTTTATTTTAAATATTATTTTATTTTTTATAAAATGTACCTAATCACAGAGAACTCAAAAAACTAAGTTTCATAATTTTTTGAGTTATATTTTGATTTTTAAAAAATCATTTAAATGTTAAGAGTGGTATTTATTTTTAAAAGTTAATTTAAGTTATTAAATGAACTCAAAATATTTTGAAACTTTTATGGTAAGTTCTCTGGATCATAAATCACAATGGAGATTAAAATCCAAGTCATTTAAATGTTTATATTTTTCAAAATTAATTATCTTAATGATTTAGTATTTGAAAAATTTAAGTTTGTTTTAAATGACTTGACCCATGAAATTATTTTCAAAGGTTTCTCTGGTCATGGTGGACTTTCCAAAATTTTCTTGGGATTTAATAACCAATATGCTAATTTTCATGATTATTTTAAGGAAATGATGT